CCTAAGATAGGACCCAACCCAACACTCCTACTTTCCTGAAAATCTCATTTTGCCACAGCCCTTTCTGTTTCTGCCTTTCTGATCCTTGCTTATCAGGTTTTTTTGCAGCTTGTCCCTTAAATGAGGGTGTTTCCCCAGCTGCAGACATCCACCCTTTGCTTTCCTTGTGGTATGCACTCTATCTGGGGTGATCTCATCCAAATCCTTGGCTCAGTTGCCTCCCTGAAGCCTGGCCCTGTCCTGAGCTCCAGGCCTGCATATCTAGCATTGAAGAAGTCCATAAGGACCTCAAACCCAACAGGCCCAATTCCAAATCCTTCACCTTCTGCTCCAACCCTGTTACCATGTGTTGTGGAAGGAAAGCACATTACAGCTTGGACCAGAAACTGGGGCACCATCTGAGTCCCTCTTTCCACTCACCACCCACAATACTGTTAGTGATCAGGGCCCACTGAGCATATTTACCTTCTCTCTTATTCAGCCCCTCAAATGATTCTCACTTCCAGTATCTTAATTCAGTTGACCGTTTCTCCTGTTGATCACTGCATTTAGCTCCTTACTGTTTTCTTCCAGCCTTAAATTTCAGTCCCTTTCAACTTGTCCTTCACTTAACTTCCCCAGTTGTCCCAAATGTAAATCTTATTGTATTTGGCCCCAGCCTAAAGTCCTTCAGTGACTCTTCATAGCTCAGAGGATGAAGTTCACGTTTCTTGGCATATGTGGTTTTTAATTGTCTGTGTGGTCTCAACTCTTCCCTCCCTGGCAGGCCCCGTTTTCTTAACTGTGTTGCAAGCTGTTCTTCATACTTACACGTTTCTGTGCCTCCAGCCCTTTGCATGTGTGCTTCCTGCTGCTGGAACATGCTCTTCTACCTGCTCTGCCTTCCTCTCCTCCTGATTCCTCAGTTTAACTGCCAAGGCTTTGAGGGAGCCTCATGAGATCACCATACAATAATGATTTAGGTGCTCGTCTGCACGCAAACATCACCTCGTGCACACCTCTGTTAGAGTCTGTATGAGAATTGAATCTTTGATCCCCTTATGTGGCTCTCTTCTGTCTCTGCAAATCCCATGAGGGCAGCATCTGAGTCTGATCTAACTTGCACTGCTGCCAGGCACCGACTGTGGCCCATCTGGCACATAGAAGGTGTTCAATAAATACTGAACAAAAGCTTGAACTAAGAGTATACACTACCTTCTTACAGCCTCACAAACTTGGAGGTCTTGTTGTTAGTACAGAGTCCACCAATAAGGATCATGTATTCATTTCCCACTTTATGGACAAGACTTTCAAATGGTTACTGGAAAATCAGGACTATTAAGTAGCAAACTTGAATAAGATTATACTGTTGATGAAGTAATTCTACCTTTAGAAATCTATCCTAAATAAATAACCAAAGGCAGGGAAGTTTAATTCATCAAGATACTCATCACCAAGTAATTTATGATAGTAAAAAAAAACAAAACTGGAAGAAAAAAAACTAGAAAAAAAAGAGACATGGTTAAGCATTCAGAATTATAATATATTCATACTACTAAACATTATACTGACTTAATATGTTGTGCTTCCAAAGACTTTTTAATGATATGGGACAATACTTATATTATTAGTGAAAAAGCTTGATAGAAAACTAGCAAATATTGTAAAATTCTAAATGATACAAAGGAAAAAAAAACCCTAACAAAAAGAAGAGAAAAAAGATTTAAAACATACCAAAATGAACTCTTCAGTCATTATATCTTGGGTGATTTTTGTTTTTTTTTTTTAATGTTTGGTATTTTCTAAATGTTCTACCATAAGCATCTTTTATAATCAGAAATATAAAAATTTTCAAGTTTGAGATTTGGGCTGTATGAGACTCTAGTGAACAGCTTTTGTTCTCTGCAGATCACTCCTCTGGTGAGAGTATCTCAATTTATCTTTGCACACACATTCCTTTCCATGCTTAGGCCTTGCAGTGGGGATGAAGTAGACCCCCAACCCCTATTCCAGGGGTAAGTATGTAACTCAGACCTGGTCAGTTATCATATCATCATATTCCACCTGTCTGGCTTCATAACTGGTTCCAGAAAGGCATGTGACTTAAGCCAGGTCAGTATTTTTCTAGGAGATGTTTGTGAGGGCAGAAAACCTGTGCTTCCGTTGGTACTAATGAGCTATAAGCCTAGAGCTGCCTGAGTGTACACATGGAAAGGAAGCAATACAGGGAAGTATTGTTGAAGGATGAAGCTGGGAAAAAATGCATGTGCAAGCACACATACACCACATACACACACACACACACACACACACACACACACACACACGCACACACACCACCTTCAAGTCCTGATGACTTTGAGTTCTTGCATCTAAAAAAGTCTGGAACAGTATCATCCTCTGATTTTCCAGTTGTAAGAATTTTCCAGTTATTTTAGGCTTCTTTGTTTGCTTAGTTCAGTTTTAGCTGGGTTTCTATGAGCTGCAATTAAGGAGTCATCACTAATACAACTATGAAAACAGAAAATTATAAAATATAATTCATGAAAGGGTCCAGGGCTGTCACAGAGTATGGAACTACTCTTATACATCCTACTTGAGATAAAAAACATTTCCATCACTGTAAATGTTTCTATTGGACATGATCTAAAATATAGTTCATTCTCATAGCAGTTCACTCAGCACCTTCTATGTCTCCTTTCAGTACACAGGTGGCAGAAATTATTATTAAAAATAGCTGATAATCCTAAAGGCACAGGGACTGGAGACTTTCTGCTGTACCTGGCACTAGGCCTTTTACTGCTGGATCTGAAGAGATTCAGGATCTCAAGAAATGGCTTGGGGTTAGGGGGCACTTAGCTATTTAAGAGAGTAGATTTTTTTCAAAAATCAGTATGAAAGGATTTTAATATTCTTCCAATCAATATGGCTAACTTGGTGTGCTCTGGCTGAACACAAGCAGATCCTGTGCTTTCTTATGTGGGTATCTGTTTTCCCTCCTGGACTGTGAATCCCCCCAGGCAGGGATTTTGTTTTATTGCTTTTGTAGGTCTTGTGCCTACCTAGGCACTCAATAGGTGTTTAAATGGTGAAGAAAAATGGCAGTCCAGCATTATATAATTCCCCATTCTGGTATTTTTTTCTGATGGAAGTTCCTTGCCTAAAATTAAATTGCAATATGGTCTCTTTTCACCCACTCTTCTGAAGACTTGTTATTCTCTCCAATATCAGCTAATTGAAGAAGAAAATTGTAAATCTCTCTACAGGCATAATGTTGATATTAACTCAGAGTGATTTTTTTCTCACTATAAAATGGAGTTTAGAAATAAATCAAGATCCCAGAAACTTATGATTGCTTTGAGTGGTAGCTTTTATTTCTGTCATTCTAAGAACAAGATGCGGTGTGATGGCCCAGAGCCCAAACAGAGGGCTTTGAATTTCAGTTCTCACAGCTGTATGACTTACACTATTTGCTAGGATATTGGGGGGTGTGTTCCCACACTTGACTGTAAGTACTGTGGCAGGACCCACATCTATTAATAATGGTACTTCAGGGCCTAGATCCTCCTGTTCACAATAAATACTTAAATGCTTGTTGAATGAATAAAGGGAAGCAATAATACATATTGATCTACTAATAATAATTTTTAAGTGATTAGCTTTACAAGTAATTTTTCTTAAGCCAGTTTAGATGTTATTAACAGTAAATAGGAGAGTTTTCAATATTAAATGAAGTGGCAGGGATGGGGAGCTGGTTAACTATGAATTTCAGATGTTACTTTAGAGAAAAGACTAGGTGTATCAAAATTGTTCCATCACTCTGATTGTCACCTCCCATTTGTTTTCCATTTTTAAATACCCTGGCTTATTAGAGTGCATAGGTAAAATTCCTCATACCTGGAGTCAGTCTTAAAATGACTGGGTACCCTGTTAGCTATGGGATCTTGGGCCACTTTCAGAACTAAAATAATAAACCTATCTGCTTTACCTAGCTCACAAGGCTGTTATTGTGAGCATGAAATAATATTCCATGTAATGAGGAACTATAAAATCCCATACAGATACTATTAGCTTGGATAAAGTACTTCCTAGGAAGTGGAACCTGGCTTAAAAATCATTTTACTATTATTTTGCTCTTGGGAGAGGCTAAGAGGAACGCCGGAGTCCCCACCCTGGTAACTTCCATCTGACAGGCAGAAAAACTGTACAGGAAAAAAAAAACAGCAAGAAAAGTCACCTAGAGGGCTTAGCATAAGGACTCTGGTGCAAATAGGTTTAAAAACTCGGGCTCCCAGAGCAAACTTCGCAGGGCGGCCCTCCCTGCTCCAAAGCCAGGCTCCAGGAAGGTCTCCGCAGGGCTTTTTGGGCGGAGGCCACGCCGACCAATAGAAACGAACTGTGTTCTTGCAGGTTGAGAAGCAGGTGTAGATCCTGAGCATAAAGATTCCCCGCGCCCCGACTCAGCCTTTTACCTCCGTCCAGGCGCCACTCTTGGTCCCCCCCACCCCCCCGACTAAAAGCAATAGAGAAGAGTGTCCGGCTCAATTCCGCCCTCCCGCCCCCAATTCCTGTCCCCGCACCCTCTCCGCCACCAGCGGCGTCTAGCCGCCTCCCTCGGGAGCGTGCTCCAGAGGCGGAAGGCGGACCCTTATTATGTGGGGAGCACCTGCCAGGTGGTGGGCCGGCGCCCTAACGTGCGCGTGGTGCCCGGCCGCACAAAGCGCCAGCAGCACCACCATCGTCCGGGAGCCGCCTCCCGCAGCCCGAGCACATCACAGGGGAGGAGAGGTGGAGAGATGAGATGAAGCGGCACCAGGGTCGAGAGCGCGCGGCGACGGCCGGCCGGCATGCTGTTCTCCTCCTCCCTGCGGGCTCAGCCCCAGGGGATTAGCACGTCGCAAGAGAGGCGGCCAGACGCCGCGGCGAAGGAGCAAGACCCGAGCGCGAGAGAGGGAGGGGAGGCGAGGAGGGGCAGCGGGGAGGGGCGTGGCCGGCGCGCAGTGGGAGGGCGCTGGGAGGAGGGGCCGCGGCCCGCAGCTCGCGGCTCTGGGGGCTCGGCTTTGCCGCGCTCGGCGCACTCGGGCGAGAGCAGGAACGTGCAACGGAGCTCCGATCCCAGCGCAGCCACCGCGATGAGAGGCGCTCGTGGCGCCTGGGATTTTCTCTGCGTTCTCTTCCTCCTGCTCCGCGTCCAGACAGGTGGGAGAGCGTTGCGGACCCCCGGGCCTCGTTTCCTGGCGCAGCCAGTGCCCTGAGGGCACCAGCGCGCTGGGGTGTGTCGAGAGAGGTGGCTGCTGCCCCTTCGGTGCCGGTGCGCCTCAGCCTCTGAAAAGATTCGAGGCGTCCCCCGAACTCTCCTGAGCCCTGCCTCGCTCACCTGCGAGAGGAGCCCTCCAGCCTCCGGCGCTGGGGGAGCTGAGCTAGGGGTCTTCCGGGATTGAGGGCAGCGAGGGGTCTTAGGAGAGACCGAGGTGCAGGCTGCGGGCTAGTTTGGGGGTAGTTTTGTGTTGAGGGTGCGCGGGGGCCGAGGCGGGCGGGTTCGGGATTCGCACCCAGCGCGTTATCTTCGCGGTGGGAGGAGCGGCCGCTGCTTCCTTTTGTTAAAAGTTGTGCGTGTGTGACCCGCGCACTCGAGAACGAGTCCGCAGGTTCTCAGCCGCGCCGAGGGCAAAGTTGGAGAGCCCTTTCTTTGCTCTGCGGCCGCTCCTTTCGAAACCGCGGGCGCCCTTTGTGCCCCAGAGCTGGGGACGGACGCGCTGCCGTTCTGCTAGGCGCCCCGGTGTATACCAGTCGCAGGCTGAGGCCCCAGACCCCTCGGTTATGCTTTTGCACGGGTAAACCGCGGCGTGTGGTTCTGGGCCCCGCCCCCGCTAACCTGGAGGTGGTGGCTAAGGGGACAACTTGGGCAGGACGTGTGGAAAGCAGCCGCTAGGTTGCAGACTTTTTGCTTTATAAATTCCGTGCCAGAGGCTCGCCGCTTTCTGCCGCGGTGCTGTTTCTTTCCTGCCACGCGCCTCGGAGCGGCTGGCGGCTGCGTTTGCCGCCTGCTCCCAGGGGGTGGCGGGGATTCTTCGAACCGTGACCGCTGCCGTCTCCCTTGCCCAGTCACTGCGCCTGTCCGGGCTGGCGGGGCTCTGCAAGCTGTTCGAACGGTGTCTGCGACCTGTAATTTCAGGTCCTGTTTCTTTGGGAATTTCAAGAGTCTCATCACCCCTTCCCACATGATATCTATACCACTTAGGGGAGGACTGAGGTAGGGTGCGGGAGATGGAGTGGAATTTTATGCACATCTACTTGGATCTTAAAGCTGTTGTGAAAATCCGGTTATATCTGCGCGGGAACTTGGGTGTGAAGGTGAAGAAGGAGGAATTGCAGGCTCTTGGTAGCCCTCCGTCAGATTCCTGCCCCTTCTTTCCTTTTTATCTGCATGTCGCTTGTGCTCGATCGAGTGCAGGTCGCCTGGCTAACCGGTGAAGCCCCGCTCCTTCCCAGGTCATTTTCCCCAATTGGGTAAGGATAAAAAGTGAGTCTTCACTGGAATTCAACGGCTCCAGAGGAATTATCGCTAGGACCTATTGTGGGACTCAGTTGACTACTGGCCAGTTGTCCCAGAAAGTCTCAAGATGCAGCCTCCCCCTTCCTAGGCTTTTAAGGCACTGAGAGGGCTTCCCTGTGGGGGAAGAGGGGCCTTGCATCCTGATTGAGTTTCCAGATTATGTGGCTAATTTGACTCGCTGAGCTTCAGGTGGCATGTTTAGTCCTTACATCTTTGTGCCTTGGCATTTTGTATTTCAGTTAAGGTGTGTGAACTGGATGGCGTAGGGGAGCTTCAAAAAACACACAGTATTTCCCTTTTTAAAAATAAAATGAATCATTTGCTTCCTTCTTCCTCATAATTAGCCTTGCTCCATCCATTAGATTTTTGGCAAAGGAAATTTTAAGGTCTGGCTCCTGGGGGGCAGTATGGTACAGTGACAAAGCCTTGTGCTGCCCTTCTGGTTCTCCTTTTCTCAGCCATTTGTTAGCTGTGTGCCCTGGGCAGGTCGCTTAAATTCGGGGGGACACAGTGGCCTCACGAAGACAGGCCTTTGTATCATAAAGGATCCTTTGGGTCCAAAATCCTCCTCTTGCAGTGCTGGGAGGACAGACTCTACACTTATCTAAACTCTTTCCTAGATTCCTTCCTGCCTCCTTGAATTTCTGCTCCTGATCACAGAGACCGCTTGGTGGTATCCTACTGGTCAGCCCCTGGCTAAAGCAGAGAGATGTGATATATGCTGCCATTTCCTCAATCCA